TGGGGGGGTTGGGGGGGAAAAGGGGTTTCCCTTTTTTTTCCCCCCTTTCAATTCCCAAAAAAAAAAGGGCAAAAAAGGGGGTTTAAAGGCAATTACGAACATAAAACCCGGAAAAGGGGTTTCGGGAAACCCCTTCAAAAAGCCAAAACGAGTGGAAAAGTTTTTTGTTTCTAAATACCACACTAAAGTTATTTACTGGGGCTTTCCCAATCTTTAAAATGCCTGGTAAGGCAAGGGGCGATAGTGGGGGGGTTTTTTCCCGTAGTGCCTGGTTTGCAAAAAGGGAAAAAGGGCGGATTTCCACAGTTTAAAAAATTTTAAAAAAGTGGGAAAAATGGGGCGGGGTTGAAAATTTTTATAAAAAAAAATTTGGGCCGGGCCCCAGCGGGCCGATACGACAAGCTGGGGTGGGCCCCCTTTTAATGAAAAAGGCCATTATCTTTTCTTCTCTGAGAAAAAAAGCCCCAAGGGTGCAAACTCTCTGGCAGACTTTGGGGAAAAAAAATGGGGGCAAAGGAGCCCGGAAATACGGACCGATGATTGCCAATTTCATTGGCAAAACGGGGGTTTTCTAAAAACCGGCCCCGCAAACGGAGCGGGTCAGGAGAAAAATTTACCCTCGTTTTGTACTTTTTTTTCCGCCCCCTTTATAGGGGAAAGCAAGGTGATGGTGGAACAATCCGCCAGCAAGGGTTTAGGTCAGGATGACACGGCGAGCGATCCACGTTTCTTTTTAAAAATCAGGCCTGTGGTTTTTATTGTCCCGGTACCTCCCCATGCACGCTTTTAAACGAAAGGAGCACAAGCAGGGAGACCACCAAGGCAGATTTCTGAGAATGCCTGCCCGAAGTTTTGGGGTATAGAATGAGAATGCGCGTGAAAAAAAAGGAGGGAAGAGGTGTAAAAGCTCATCGATGGGGGAGAAGGGAAACCCTTTTAAAAAAAAGTTAGGGGTGAGTAAAGGGTTCCAATTTGGCCGATTAAATTGCCAGCGTGGGTGCGAAGAGGGGCGAATATGAAGGGGGAAATAAGGGAAAATTTTGGGAAAAGATCACTGTCAAAAGCAAGTCCGGGAAAAACGACCCCAAATGAAGTCTAAAAGCGGGGAGGGGAAAAGCAACGAAATCGATAAGAGGAGTATGGTCCAGGGTTAAAAGGGTGTGAGTCCTGTATTTAAAAAAAAAAGGGGGGGGGGGGCAAGAAAAGCCTCTAACGTTTCCCGGGGAAACACATAGACCCCCCCCGAGGAAATGGGGGGCAAAAAATCACCAATAACAGAAACGGTGGCGGTAATTTCGAAACAACGAACAAAACCGGTAGATAATGCCCGAAAAGGGGAAGAAAAAAAGAAAGAGGTTACCACCCATGTAAGGGATACGGGCGCTGGTAATGCCGAAGTATGAACAATAGGAGGTACGGAATATCAGGCGGGGAGAAGAAGGGCACTTTATTAAAGGGCCCATCAGGAAAAGGATCGAAGAAAACAATAAAATTATAGCCGAATGGGAGAAATAACACAGAGTGTAAAAAATTTGGTTTTCCCGTAAGCAAACCCCAACAGGGCAAAAAAAATGGGGAGTAACATCTGAAGTCACCCCCATTACCCCTGAGGCTGCGTATATTTCCACTGTAAAAAGGCCATGATTGGCAATGTAAAATACTTGAAAACCCAGTAAGGGTTCCTACAACAAAGGGGGGAAAAAAGCCCCCAGCGGAGGCATGGAAAACGTTCAAGCGCGAAGGAACGGTGCGCTTGAAAAAGGATTGCACAGATGGAGCAGAGGGGAGGGGGGAAGGTGATCAGTGTTTCCCTATGGTTTGGGCTCTGAATATATCAGATTTCCAAGTGTTTTGGGAATTTGGATGTGTAGGGGGGACTATTGGGAAAGGTAGGGGGGATGAGTAAAAAAATTGGAACTGTTTGGACTGACAAGGAGGGGGGGGCGAAGGGTGGAGGGAACTGGAGAACTGGCAGGGACAGAAGAGGGCGGGGAAACCCGGGAGGGGGCAGAAGAGAAAAACTGGGGGGAACAGGGGGGAAGGTACGTAGGGAGGAGGGGGAACCCTCCCTTGTAATGGCCAGTGAAGGGGGGGAAAACCGGGGCGAGCCGGGGGGTAAAGAGGGGGAAAATGGGGAGGGGGGGGTTAACGGGGGCCTTTTTTTTTTACTTTGAGAAGTAAAGGGACGATTGGGGGGAGGTGTCGTACAGGCTGTCGAACTGAGGGTTGGAGGAGAATCAAAGACGAGATCAACTGAGGCATTAAGAGGGGGTGTCTGAGCCCGGGGGGGCCAAAAAAGGGTTGTCGGAGTGACTATGGAGGGTAACCCCAAGTGGGGGTAGAAGATGGAACCGAAGTGGGGGGGCGTTTTTAAACCCCGGGAATAAGAAACACGTGGGGGGCTCCCTTGGAGGCGGAGATGGGAAAAGCCATGGGATAAGGGGACCCGTCTTTGAGTAATGGATTTCCCCCTCTTTAAAAAAAACGACAATGGGGGAGTCGAAGGGGGACCTCATGACAGTTAGGCAAGAGGGAGATCGATTGCAAATGTTTAGAATTATGGCACCAAGACGGGGATTCGGGCAATTTGCAAATTTCGTGGTGGGCCCAAAACGCCCCAAAATTTCTAAAATGTTGTGGTTAGGGATCACCTTTTTGAAATTGTAAAAGATTCCTCTATTAAACTGAGGATGGGAGTTCTCGCTTTCAAAAGTTTAAAAGAGCCCATTGCAGGGTATCGTCTCCGCCGGGGCAGGAAGAACTAATGTCACCTTGAGGATGGGAGATCTTGGAGTTCCAGTGTTCAAAAAGTCGGCCACATGTCTGGAAATTTTGTTGAACATGGTATGGGGCGAATGACGGTACCATACCCAAAATTTAGGGGAAAGAGTTTTCAAGGGAGGAACTACGTATGGGAAACGAGAGAGCTCATGACCTGGGTAGCAAATTCTGTACGGTAATGAACCCGTCCGCTCTTAAGGCATGAAAAGAAAAATCTTTTAACCCAAATGGCGTAGGATGCCTTGCCAATACTGTGGTCAAAAGATAGGCATAGGGAAGCGGGGTAAAATGAAAAATTTAGTCCATTGTTCGTCTGAAACCCAGCAGGGGAAAGGTAGTGAAAGGACGTTTCGTCGTTTTGAGAACGAGAAGGTGGAGAAGTATCTCAGCAGGTAACGTCGTTGGCGTTTAGGCGTGGGCCAGGTTGGTCCCCACGTGGGAAAGGGTCGGGCGATTTTAAAATTCCGCACCGTAGAGGGAGAGGGCCCGGAAGCTATCAAGGGGAGCGAAGGTCCCCCCAAAATTGAAGGAGTCATCGAGGCCTCAGTACCCCGAAGGGTGAGGAAAAACACCAGCAATAGGTACGGGATGGGGGTTTGAAGATGGGCCAAACAGGCGGGGCCCGAACGGGGTGCGGGTACAAGAAGGGGCCCGGGGGTAGTGGGTTTATGGACTAGGGCTGCCCGGTTAGGGTTACTTCTTTTTTTTTGTTTTAAGAAAAAAAAAAAAAGAAGAAAAGAAAAGAAAATAAAAAAAAGAATAAAAAAAGGGGGGGCCGGGGGGGAAAGTTTCCCAGAGTAATGAAAGGGCCAAAATCTCCCCCCCGCCCAAGAGGAAACCCGCACCGCAAGTAGCGCAGATGCGCATGGAACCCCTGCCATACCCACCCATCATGCTAGTAAAAAATAACAAACCGGGAAGAAACCCCATTTTGCCGAGCTACCCCGGTGGACAAAAGGGGGCGGCCGGAAAACCGCCACAAAGCATAACTCCTTCGGCCACCACCCGGAATCCGAAAGGTGGCTTCCAGAGTACACCCCTCGCCCGAAAAAACACCCAAAGCTACTCCGGGGTACCGGAGAGGGGTTGGGACATCCCCAGGCGGTCCAGATTCCACGGGAAACTATGCCACCGCCAAGAACCTCAACGGAATGGGATAGACCCCGGTATCCTTTCCCCTACCTAGGAACTAGCGCGCCTGTGGGAGAAATCCCAAAGCCAAAAAGAGGAAGGGCAAAAGGGAGGGGTGGGGAGGAGGAGGAGGAAAGGAAAAAGGGGAGGATGGGGAGGATGGGATAGGGGAGGGGAGACTGGGGGGTAATTAGGTTCGGTCTGAGGAAGAAGACCGACAGGTCTAATTCCTCAGACCAAGAGCCTCTTCACCACGCCAAGGAGCCCCCCTTGAAGAGGCGAGCCTCAGTAGGTAAACACCTCCTATCTATAGAGGAACTTTAGCCTGGCATTCACCTTTTTTTTACTACATTATTCCCCTGGGTGTGGCGATAGGTTATCTACTAAATATTTGTTGCAGGACTCTAGTTTCATTGACAGTACATTAGGTACATCTTGCGGGGTTTACCTGCGACTAGCAGAGCACTGTCGTCTGTTATATAACAGAAGCTTACACCTGAAACTGATGGGCATGTCATTCACATTATATAAAAAATAGTAAGGGACCCAGAACACTACCATGGGAAACCCCACATTCTATCGGCAGTTGTTCTGATTCTTAATTACTGATCTTGACAATTTGTTTCTTTTGCTTCAGGTAACTTGTACCAGTCTACAGAGCTTATGCCGATAGCTTGTAGTTTCTTACACAATATATCATGGTTAACTGTATCGAATGCCTTTTGCAAGTCTATGGTCATCATAAATATGAGTCCCTAACGACGTGAGAGTTCTCAGGTAGTCCATTAGATTAAATAGGAAGGTATCGGTCGAGTAAGACTTGAAACCTGAATGATAACTATGGAGAATGTTTTTGTCATTAAGGTAATTAACTACTTAACAATGCACCGCTTTCTCTAGAATTTTGGACATCACACTGAGTGACTGAGTGACCGTGACTGGAACGATACACAAATAACCTGCACATAAAAGAGAAGCTTACGACGACGTTTCGGTCCGACTTGGACCATTTACAAAGTCACAGTGTGACTTTGTAAATGGTCCAAGTCGGACCGAAACGTCGTCGTAAGCTTCTCTCTTTTATATGCGGGTTATTTATATGTCTCCTTCCTTAAGATGTGACCTGCCCTACTAAGCTTGGGCAGGTGGGTGACTTGGACTTGCCTCGCATGGGTCAGTAGACCTGCTGCAGTGTTCCTTTCCTATGTTCTTATAATAAGAGGCCTATAGCTGGTGACATTAGACCTAGTTTTTCTTGAAGATGGAGTAACTCTGGCCTCCTTGAACCCTCTGCCATGGTATTGATGATAATGGACAAATTTATTATGTGCGTGATGGGGACTGGCAATTCAGAGGTACCATCTTTTAGGAATTTGGCTGGGATGTTATCTGGTCGTGTGCTTTTACTCGACTAACTTACTTATTTTCGCACAGTCATAAGATGCACCTAATAACTGACGCCTTTATTACAGTTATAAATTCTAAATTTAATCATACGTGATTGTGAGCACTCATGGAAAGTAGCATAGCTTGGACCTCAGTGTCATGGTTCCGAGAGTTCAGCTGATACCAGTGTACTGGAACACTACTGGCCCCTCAAGCCAATATAACTCTTAAACTTAGCCATAACAGGAGCATCTGATATACAGCCAGGTAAATTCTGTATAAGTAACAGTTCATGTTGAGTATCTTGACCCTACCTAACAAAGCCACACTGGTGACAAGCCACGCTGGTGACAAGCCACGCTGGTGACAAGCCACACTGGTGACAAGCCACACCGGTGACAAGCCACACTGGTGACAAGCCACACCGGTGACAAGCCACACCGGTGACAAGCCACACCAGTGACAAGCCACACCGGTGACAAGCCACACCAGTGACAAGCCACACCGGTGACAAGCCACACCGGTGACAAGCCACACTGGTGACAAACCACACTGGTGACAAGCCACACCAGTGACAAGCCACACTAATAACTTTTTTCAAATCTTGCACAAAGTCTGTCACATCAGTGACTTCTGTAGTCATCATTTTGGGCGGTAAGAGGATGGGTCTATGCCATGGGTTCCAATTTCACCTCAACCAACCTATGGCTCAATTGCTACAGCCATCTCTGCTTCCTCTCCTGATCATCTGGAGTTACTGATTCAACTACAGACATTGAAGAGTCTATCAGTCAAAATGCTATAGGTCTGTTACTACCCTACACTGTTTGATAAGCATTATCAGGCCCATCATGACAGCTACATACTGACCAACACTGGTGGCCGAGATGTTCGTTATGTGCCCAGAGAATGATGCCCCCTCCCCCACAGATTATTTCCTTGAGAGATTATCCAGCAAGGTGTGATGATTCCGCTAACTGCAAACTACTACTACATGCCTTGAACAATGAACTGAGGTCATTTCTTCTGGAAGAACTTTGACATAACGTTCTTCCAGGTTCGATGTTTGGTCTATGCAGCAATGAGATACATATGGGGCCCCCAGAGAAGTGTATCTCGCTTCTGTAACACCTGCTAGCCTTGTGTATGCCATCCTATGTCCTCGTCCAGCCTTGTAGTCAACCCTGTTTGTGAAAATGACATTAGAGAAGTTCTGAGGGTAACTGGGTAGATGTACTTAAGTCGTCTAGCTCTTGCATTCACTCTCCTACCAATCCACCTTGTACTCAGCTCGATCTACAGAACCCAATGCTTATTGCAGTCTGACTCTTATCAACCAACTGTATTAGTCTTGGTCCAGGAGATGAGTGTTTTTGTGTAAAGTAACGTGAGTAAAATTTAAGCTATTAGCGTGCCTTGCACATGTACACAGGAGCAGCATTTCACTGGAAATTACAAGTTTGACGGTAATACACCCTAGTGTAGCCAGTATCACTGCAGTTATTCTCGTCGACACTCATCTGATGGTACTTAAAGGCCTATATCATATATTTCATGAACGCAGCGCTCTGTACTGTAGTATTTAATGTACATTTCCGGGTACACCATGCTATACTTACCCCAGCTTTTGTTTAGTCATGACGCCAGTGACGTAAATAGAATACATGGGGGTATTCTAACCTAACTGTACAAAAATATGCAATATCACACTGTACAAAAAAATATACAATGTCACACTGTACAAAAATATACAATATCACACTGTACAAAAATATACAATATCACACTGTACAAAAATATACAATATCACAATATCATCAGGAAGAAATCCAAATATTATTCTTTACACTTGTCAAATATACCACTTCCCGAGCAAGGATCACACAATTCACCAGAGGTGGACCCCATCCTATATATCACACTGTACAAAAATATACAATATCACACTGTACAAAAATATACAATATCACACTGTACAAAAATATACAATATCACACTGTACAAAAATATACAATATCACACTGTACAAAAATATACAATATCACACTGTACAAAAATATACAATATCACACTGTACAAAAATATACAATATCACACTGTACAAAAATATACAATCATATCACATGAACTCCAATACATATGAGCATCAACATGTAGCAGCATTCAATGTGTGTATCTGTAACCGGTGAAGGTTTGAATGTTGGCCAACAGTGGCCCTTCCTCTTCTACATGGCCCTGTCAACTTTCCACAACTCTGCCTCGACTCCTCACTTCCCTTGTTCTACAGAGCTGGTCTGCCGATGTTATATATACATTTATCATTTTTTTTTTTACGTCGACTAAAACTCTAGTTTTCCTCGGTCTCATCTTCACTTTCCTCACTGTGTGTAACCCTGGATCAGTTTTGCCATTTCCATCATATTAGATGCTCTCTACGGTGTCCCGTGGCTTGGTCCACAAGACACTCGCCTCACACAGTGTCCGTGGTTCAATCCCCGGCCAGGTGGAAACGTTGGCCATGTTTCCTTACACCTGCTGTCCCTGTTTACCTAGCAGTAAATAGGTACTTGGGTATTAGCCGACTGGAGTGGGTCGCATCCAGGGGAACAAGATTGAATGACCACAATGGAAATAAGACAGTCTTCGATGACACTCTTGGGTTGTCCTAGGTGGTTAACCCCCCAGGTTAAAAATCCGAACAAATTTTGTTATTTTATCCACAATCACTAACCTGAGGCAAACACTTTTTCCAGAGTTATTTTGTATTTTACTTTTTCTTTAATACCTGGAGTATACCTGGAGAGGGTTTCGGGAGTCAACGCCCCCGCGGCTGAGGTTGAGGAACTTCTAGGTCAGCTATTTCACCTGCCTTGAAAGTTGCTGTTAGTGTGCAGCAATATTCCAGCCTAGATAGAACAAGCTACCTGAAGAGTGTCATGGGCTTGGCATCCCTAGTTTTGAAGGTTCTCATTATCCACCCTGTCATTTTTCTAGCAGATGCGATTGATACAATGTTGTGGTCTGACATAATGACTCCCAGGTCTTTTACATTAGTTTTCCGTTCTATTGTGTGGTTGGAATTTGTTTTATACTTCGATATAGTTTTAATTTCCTCACGTTATCCATATCGGAGTAATTGAAATTTCTCATCATTGAACTTAATATTGTTTTCTGCGGCCCATTTAAAGATTTGGTTGATGTCCGCCTGGAGTCTTGCAGTGTCCTCAATGGAGGACACTGTGATGCAAATTCGGGTGTCATCTGCAAAGGAAGACATTGTGCTGTGGATTACCACTACAATCAAAACTAAGCACTAAACCCACAAGAGATGTCAAATGCGTAAGCCCAACATCAAGGAGACGGTTTTCAACACGAGTCCATTGACATTGTTCATTAGAATTAGGGAATTTTGTGGCAAACGATTGTTCTTGGGCTAGTGTCAGGGCGTTTAAAAATATCAAGGTTCATGCCACGTTAACACACGTAAAAAGACTGTTTTGGGTCATTGGGAAAATTTCCCAAAGTGACAAACACCCCCCTACCATCACCTTCCAAAACCTGTATCAAAAAACTTTACCCTAAACCCCTTTTCCACCGCAAAAAACCCCTGGGAACCTTCCCCCAAACCCTTTTCCCCTCCCCAAACAAAAAAAACCACTGACTTCACCCCCCTTCTCCAGGTAAATTGGGCCATTTAGCCAGGGAGCTCAAGGAAAGTGGGCCTAGTCATTTCCTTGCATCCACCCCCCACCATCAACCCCCCAAGTCTTCCAGTTCCATAAAACCTGTGGAAATTTTAAAAAAAAACTTGGATTACTCCAATTTCATGGAAATTTTTGGGTTTAAAACTTCAAACTTTTGCTTACGGGCATTTTCGAAAAAACCCATTAATTCCTACTTTTATCTTTTGCCGACTTTTTTGGAGTTTTGCTGCTGGAAACTTTCTTTTAAAGTTTGCGCTGCCAAAAACGTGGACTTCCCAAAAAGCGGGCTGCCCCAAACGGGGATTTTCACCACAAGCAGCTGCCCCAAAAAGGGGGGAATTCACCCCACAGCAGCTGCCAAAAAGGGGAAATTCCCCAAAAAACAAGCGGGAAACATCGTGGACTTTAAACCCCAGAGATTCCCCCACAACGTGGACTTCCACAAAAAAGGGACTGACCAAACGGGGACTTCCCAACGGAAAGTGCCCACAACGTGGATTTCCCCACAAGCGCGGGGGCCCCAACAACGGGGGACTTACCAAAAGCAGCTCCCCAAAAAGTGGACTTAAAACACAGCAGTTGCCCCCACACGTGGATTTTCCCCCAGAGCTGCCCACAAGTAAACTTAAACCACGGGCAGCTGCCCAAAGGGTGGACTTCCCCACACAGCATTGCCCCAACGTGGATTTTCCCCACACGCGTTTCCCCAAAAAATTTTGGACTTCACCAAACAGCGCTCCCAAACTTGGACTTAAACCACACAGCAGCGGGCCCACAACGGGGACTTAACCACCCCAGCATTTCCCCCCAACCGTGGATTAAACCACAAAGCAGTGCCCCAACGTGGTTTTCACCAAAAGAAGTGCCCCACAACGTGGATTTTAAACCACACAGCAGCTGCCCCACAACGTGGTTTTTCCCCAAAACAGCAGCTCCCAAAAACGGGACTTCCCCACACGCAGCTGCCCCACAAAGTGGCCCTTCAACACAGCAGCTGCCCAACTTTGGGGCTTAAACCAACAGCGGGCTGCCCAAAACGTGGATTTCCCCACACAGCACCCTGCCAAAACGGGGAAACTTCCCACCCCGGCAGTGCCCACACTGGACTTCACCACATCCCAGATATGTTAAAACCTACAAGTTTTCGTTTTAATTTAAAGGGAGCATTAATTAAACTGTAAAAAATTGTTTTTAAACACGCAATGTTAAAGGAAACACACAAATAAAAGAAAATAACCGGGGCCCAAGCCTCAAGTGTATTTTTTCGGGCAGGACAACAACACACAATTCGGGGTTTAAGTCGGGGGAAAAAAAAAAAATACCTACCCAAAAAAAAAATTATAAAAATAGTAGTAATAAAGGCGGATAGCCTCAATACTCCCTTTAGTAGTTAGTTTGGGGTTTATGATGCAATTAAATTTTCATGCCCTTGTTGTTATGTTGTCGGGAAAGGGGAAAGTGTTTGTTTTTTGAGGGCCCAACTCCCCCCAGTTGTCAAAACGTATCTTCACTGAAAAACGTTTGCCCCCCCCTCCAACGACTTTAAAAAAACACTAAAAACAAGCGGTGTTTTTGTTTTTTTTTTGTTAGGACGATTTTGTTGGTACGTCCATAACATACAATTTTACCCAAAACCACCCCTAAAATCCCTTGGGAGCCAAAAATTTTAAAAAAGGGGAAAAAAAAAAAATTTTTACGATATAAATTTTAATTCTCGGAATCAAACCTGATTGACTTTAATGGGACTGCCCCCGGAGAGTTTCCCGCCCCGCCCCCCCCCCCCCCTTCAAACAATTTATAAAACATTGGGGCCACATTTACCCAAAATAAAATTTCCCTAATATTTATGTATTTTAAACCCTTTTTGGGGAGTTGTCACATTTTGGGGGAAATTTTTTGGGCAATCAGGTTTGATCCAAGGAAGGGGGGGGTTTATTCCCTACTTCTTGTTTCAAGATCCCTTTCATTAGTAAAAAGGGGAAACCCCTTAAAAGGGTTTATTTGAAAAAATTTAACAAAAGGGTTACTTGGGGATCATTAAGAAAAAATTTTGTATTTCCTTCCCCCTTCCCATTTTCCTTCATAGAAATTAAAAGGGTAAAATCGAAAACTTGGATTATTTCCCAGTTGGAGGCCGGGCCGTTATCAGTGTTCAACCATTATTTATGTAGCCTAAATTTCAAAAACCTTTCCTTAAACTGCCAGTTAGGTGGCATTTAGGCAAAATGGGGGGCCCATTTCTTTTCGAGCCCCACTTTTTTTCTGGGTTTTAACCCCCAGCGGGGGTTAATAACCCTTATTCTCACTAATAAAATCTAAATAAACCCCTTTTAACTATAAGATGTTAGAAAAATTCCTTTTTGGGCCGGGCTAAACTTCACTTCAAGAAAAGGGGTTTTTTAATTTTTTTTTCATTTATTAGCGTCGCTGCCAAAAAGCGTTCTTCACTATTCCAAAACTAAAAAAATTAAAATGCAATTCAAAAAATTAAATTTGTAAGAACCTGAACGCCGCTTAAATTTTCCAAAATGATAAAAATTTTTGGTTAAATCAAGGAATCGAAAAAAAAACTTTGCACAGTTTGGCCAAAGGCAAAAAATTTACGTGCCCCACCCCCAAACTCCCCAAAGCCCAAAACCCCCCAACACCCCCACGGAAAACCAGTGAAAAAACAGTTTCCCACAAGTTCTAAAGGGGTCGTTGGGGGGTTTCCCAAAGGGCCCAACGGGTTCTCCCGAAATTTCTATCCCTTTCGGGGGAGATTACTCTCCCCTGTATATGCTTTAAATGCTTAAAAGCAGATTCTCCTTTTTTTTTAAACCCTAAAAACCCCTTAAATAAAAAAATATTTTCCCATCACGAGGGAAAAATTTTAACAAGGGAAAAAACTTTTAAAAGATGTTTTTTAGTTTCTATTGGAGGGTTTTATCAAGTGAAAGGGTCAAAAATAAAAAACAGCCCAACAAGACAGGTCCCCAAAAAACCCCATGGAGGGGGAGGGGGAATTACAAAGTCAGTCAGCCCAAACCAAGTTTAAATTAAAAAGCAGTAGTAGTATAGGGTAGTTGCTTTTTTAAACAGCAGTAAATTTAATTTGCAAAAAATAGTAAAGTAGGGGAGTTTCTGGGAAGATTTGCCCTTTTTAAAATTTTAAAGGGGTTGGTTTGTTTTAGTAATTTGGGAATAATAAAGAAAAGGGTGGTAGTTTAGTCTAGCAATTTAAATCCTGGGGAAATAAAGCAGGGGGGGTTTGTAACATTTTTAGTAAAAATTTTTTGTAGCTGAAAATGTCAGTTTCAAAAGAACAGTTTGGGGGAAAATTTCGTACAAGTTTAACCCTTCCCAAAAATAAAATTTTAAAAAGGTTTAAAATTTGACAATTTAAAGAAAACTCCAAAATTCCCGCGGGCCCCTGTAGGGAAAAAAATTAAAAAGTAAAAATTAAAAAATCTGGGTAAGAGACTGGCCATATTTTATAAAAGGTAGAGAGTCGAGATCCAAAAAATTTTCCTCCAAATTTTGTTTTCCCAAAACTTGGGTCCCTCTAGTCAAAAAAAAAAAAAGCCCAATTCCCAAACGAAACATTTTCATGAATAATGATACCCGTTACAATTTCTTTTACCAAACCCGGGGTTTTTACAACCCTTTTTTTTTTGAGAAAACTGGTTTTTTGGAAAAAAAGGTTTCCCGTCGAAATTTAGTCTCATTTAAAAAAGGTTTTACCAAAACGTCTAAGTTCCCCCCAAGTGTCAGTTTTGTGAATTTTAAACAGAGCAACAGGGTTGCCCAAAAGGGATAAAATACGTAGAAAAACCCACCACAAAACCCCTACCCAAAAACCCCAAACCCCCCAACATTCCCCCCCGGAAACCACGTGAAATTTTCAGATTTCCCCCCCGCTTCCGGGAAAGGGCGTTGGTGGGTTCCCCGGGCCCCAAAAGGGTTTTACGGGAATCTAGGGCCCTTTTGGGGGAGATTACTCCCCTGCTATATGATTTTATTTAATTTCATATTTGAGATTCTCTTTTTATTCTTAATTTTAATATATTAAAACTATTTTCCAAAACCCCTTTTTGGGAAATAACAATGGGAAAAAAAATTTGAGCGATCTTTTAGTTTTTTTTTGGCGGTATCAAGTCAGACCAAGGGTCAAAAAAAAGTATAACAGGGCCCCAAGCAGGTCGCAAAAAAACCCTGGAGGGTGGGGGGGGTGAAAATTAAAAAAAGGGCCCTCCGTCGACCAAGTTTTAAAAAAAAAAAGTAGAAGTGGTATAGGGCTTTAAGTAAAGGCAGCAGTTTTAAAAAATAGTAATGTAGGGAGTACTGTTTAAAATTTGCGGTTTAAAAATTTAATGGTGTTAGTGTTTAAAGCTAAAGGTTTGGGAGTATTAGTAGTGGTAATAAAAGTTTTGGTTTGTCAGTTTAGCGTAAGTCCTGGTTTAGTAGTGGAAGGTAGTGTAACATTAACAGTAGTTTAATTAAATAACCTATTTCGTAGCTGAAATAGTGTCCGTTTAAAAAAAATAAGGGGGGGGAAAAATTTCGGAAAAAGTTAACTTTTAAAAATAAGTTCAACAGGAGCTTACAATAGACATGAAAAGAAACTTCAATATTCCTTCTGGCCAATGCTAGGTAAGAAATTAGAAGTAAATAAAAAGTCTGGCTAAGAGACTGGCCATATTTTATCAAGGTTGGAGGGTAGAATAAAAAATTAACTCCCAATTTAGTCTCCCACACTGCTGTAAACCTCTGTAGTTAACAGATAAAGCCTACTTCCCAAGCGAAACATTTCATGAATAATGATACCAACTTGGTATTGTACACCATTTATAATGTGAAATCTGGTCCAGGAAAAAAAAGGTGCAGTCGAAAGTGATCTCAAAAAAACCCCAGGTTATACCAATACGTTCTAAAAGCTTCCTCCCCAAGTGTCTGTTTTCTGAACTTACTAAACTAAGAAACATAGACCAGCCAAAGACAAAATACGTAAATCCCCAAACCGCAACCACTACCCAAAGCCCAGGACCAACCAACATCCCCTTAGAAACTATGTGCAAAAACAGAATCCACAGCTTCTGAAGGTCGTTGGTGGGTTCCAAGGCCCAAAAAGTTCTACGTACCCTCGGGAAGATTACTTTTCCCTTTTTGCTATATGCATTCAAAATTGCATATAAAGATTCTCCAGGAGGGTCTAGGCAAGATCAAGGGGGTCTAGGTAAGATCAAGGGGGGTCTAGGTAAGATCAAGGGGGTCTAGGTAAGATCAAGGGGGTCTAAGTAAGATCAATCAGCCTGTAATCTAAGTAAGATCAATCAGTCTGTAAATATATACGGTATAACCCAATTTCAAAACAAATTCCCCCCCCCAAGGCGCTCTTAGACACTGGAGTAGTGAGCGCTAAACTCAAGACTATACTAAAAATATTTTTGGGACTTCAAAGCATAAAATTACTTGGCCAGGCCCTCTACAACCCTACTGAAAATATAAAGATGTAGTTAATTCCACATTTCTGAGGAATTGTTATTGATTTTCCGGCTATAATATATTCTGCCTAAGGAAAATTTATCCCGTTATGTGAAGCTAAAGTTCTGGCTGTGTAGTTTTAAAAATAAGTTAGACAAATGAGTGGTTGAGAGTTAGACCTGCTTAGCATGGGCCAATAGGCCTACTTCAGTGTTCCTTTCTTATGCCTTAAGCTGGTGAGGGGCTCTTTATTTAGGGAACTGGATCTGTGCTCCGGTTCCCTGTATTGAGCCTGAATACCTTCCATCCCCCCCCCATATGTATAATCCTACGGGTTTAGCACTCCATGCTTATAATAATAATCATGTCTTAATGGATATGCCTGATATAATAGGCTTTCCTAACACCCGGCATCAAGACCTCGACCATTACCTTTACCACACTAAACTCAGTATAATTATTAATCAGGTAGATTAACACAGAATTACACAATCAAGTCAGGATGACATTATTAGGGTATTTATACTCCCCCAGGATGCAACCCCTACCAATAGGCCTGCTCAGGGTCAGTAGGCCTACTGCGGTGTTCCTCTATGTGAACAGTGCCAATGGATATAAGAGAACATGCCCACTTGTGCCCGGGATCGAATCCCGGCTATTCAGTTGACGCCACTAGTAACTGAGCCATGATATATCACACTCACACTTCATCTCTGCTTCCTACAATCTTGCAGGATGGATATATTATTATAATCAAAAAGAAGCGCTAAGCCATAAGGGCTATACAGCGCTGCAGGATGGATATAGACTACATAATAAACATATTAAACTAACTAAAACTTCATAAAATCTAATTAGTCTTCAATTCTAAGCTTTACAACCCATTTCTCCAATTTTTATTTCCACCCCATTCAAAGTAACCTATAGAATACATTCCTCATTATTTCCTGGACAGAGATTTCATCTCTGGTCGGGAGATAAGCTAATACTTCCCACTAAGCTACTTCAGATATCAATTGCTAACAATCTTTCCCATATTCTCCCCACCACCTTCCCTCCTAATACAATTACTATCTGCTTCAATAACCAAACTTTAATGGACTTATAACCTGGAAATACCTTACAAGTGGGCCCCGCCCACCTCTGACGACGTTTCCAGCTGTTGCATCTCCACATACCTGAAGCAACCCTCTCCAGATATACTCCAGGTATGACAAAATGTTATGGGTCAGATCATTTACTAGTGTGGTTGTCTCCACCCCTCAGACTGGTCAATGTTGCTGTGTTGATCAATGTTGCAGCAGACACAGCCAGGCACAACACTCCTCAGTTACCACACCTGAAACAACACACATTCACATTATAACTATGAACACTACACACATTTATAGACAAACATTACCATGTAATATAAACTAGTAACATTACGGACTGATATAACCATTAATGTTTAACATAGTAAGTAAAGCTATCTTTTTTTTTAATATTTCTTTCACATAAACCTGATGACTAATAATTTGCTTACATGGAAGTCTATATCTGGATCACAAGGTGCAAGTTCCTTGGATCAAGAGACCTTCACTAAGTTATTTTTCAACAATGGAAATAAAAATAGCCCAGAACTGGATACACCATTATGGGTTATGTAGCGCCTAGTATGAGAGTTATTGTTTGATCAGAGGAAGGAGAGTAGCTTAAGTTCCTCGCATCAAAACCCTTCCACTAAGGTCAATCACCCCCGCCCCCCTCCAAGACATTAGACCCCAAAGAAAATTAAATTAAGACTATTAAAATATTATTAATTTGGTGACCAGGAGCTGCAGCTCAACTCTGCTGTTGTACTGACAAATACGTCACCAGAAATACTTACGTTATTTAGATGTATTAAAAGGATGGGGAAGCGGTAAATTCGACGGGGGATGGCAGAAGGAACAACACACCCTCCCGTACGACCTCTGAAGTTCTACTGACTTTTAGTTATGTTGAGGTTGGTCACTGTCCTGACCTTCTCTGTAACACCATCACTGATAACCTGACTAACTCTGACTACCACCACTAGATAGCACTACTACACCATCACATCACTACTAAATCATGGTGGAGCGCTCAACCCGTGGGGGTGATGGATCACCTGGGAGGATAGGTTCACTCCCAGTGGCATTGATCACATTCCTTGGACGTGATCTATGCCACCACCACCTTGGAGGAACGTCTCTTAAGGTCATCACTCTCACCACCAGAGGCGCTCTACTCCACTACTATTGTACCACTAGTACTCTACATAAGTATACCTGGAGAGGGTTTCGGGGGTCAGCGCCCCCGCGGCCCAGTCAGGGCCGGATTTAGACCTTGAGGGGCCCCGGGACACTTTAGGTTTGGGGGGCCCTCAACATGGAAATTAAACTGAATTGCAAATAAGAAATGAACTAAATTATTATTTTAATCATAGGGAGCGCTAAACCTGTAGGATTATACAGCGCACGTGGGGGGGATGGAAGGTATTCAGGCTCAATTCAGGGAACCAGGACACAGACCCAATTCCTTAGATCAAGAGCCCTTCATCAGCGTCAAGTAACCTCCCTTGAGGGGAGAAATGAACTAAAATGAATGGTAAACAACAGTTTTCGAAAAAAAATATGTTAGGTTTCGAAAAAAAATTCCGATTTTATTTTTCTCAGTTTTATTCAGTTTGTAATATATTCCATCTACACTACATAATAATTATCGATGTGTATTTATTTATATCTTTGGTGTTACACTTTTCTCTGACAGGAAACCACATGGCTGGGTCTGAATCACATGGTGGCGCTTCACTGTCCATGTCTACACAAGTATCTGTAGAATGTGGTTGTGGTGATACATCATCATTCCTATCTTGATTTGTATGTTCTTTTCATTTTCTGCAGATGTACTTGGGAATGCTGGTGGGTCCTCAGAAGAAACATCATTGAGTACTAGTGGTACTGGGTCTTCATTAGTAGCTTCTATGTTTTCCACTACGGAGGCAGAGAAAAATTCTGTAAGGCGTTTTGTCTTTGCCAATATCGCCAGGCAGATAATGAAGGCGATATTCCTTGCAGATGTTACTTGCAATTTTCTCTGCAGATTTTGATTACAATATTCCTCACAGATGTTGCCTGGCATAGATGCATTGTCATCAATCAAGCTTCACCTCTTCCTTCGGGTGTTCTGTGCCATCTTACCAACAGCAGTTGAAAGCTGTATCCTGTATCTCCACTAAATGTGACAGAAAGCATAAAAGAGCTGCTGATAAAGAAATTCTATGGAGTTTTCCGTGGTTTAATAAAAATAAAATCTTGGATGGAACAAATACAACGTTTACTGAACTATTTGAAATCACCCAAGAGAGTACGTAGCACAGGGACTTGAATCAGAAGATATTCATTGGTGCCAAGAATCACTGGGATAGCACAGGGGCACGTATTATTCATAAAAACTATTAATTATACAGATTTTCTCTGTTTCCCTGTAGTTTGGCTGTATACCACACTTTTCTAGGGTTATGGTTGGGTTTAAGAGACACATCGGTCTGAGGCTCAGGTAATGTTTCATTATCATTGAAATCGGCTGAACTCTCGATGCTTTGCCAATAAGGCTCAAGCTATTCTACTCTCCGTGGATGCTCCAAATCACTTATAATCAAGGCATTTTTCCGGGTTCAACATGTTATGTACCCACCAAGTTGCAGTTAAATAAGACGCATGTGCTACATTTAGGCATCTTTATTGCAGAGATATTTTGCGTGCAGAGCAGGCTTCTTCAGTCTAATATAGAGGTGACGAATATACTGAAGACAATTGATAAACTGTAGACATTGAGGAGTTCAGTCCCTTAGCCTATAGAGCGATAGTTGAAGTGGAGATCTGAAAGTGTTCAGTCCCTCAGGCTCGACGGAATATGTTCAGTACTATTACCTTGATCAATCTGAAGTAGTGGCAGCTGGATGGAGCTTATATTCTCGAGCCAAAAGTGAGGTGTGGTAGCTTTAGATAGCGTCACAGGAGGCTGGGCCCGCTAGCAGGCTTGCTGGCCCCAGCTAGGCAGGTCCCTCTTAAATCTAACCCATCTCTCATATATGAACATATTAACAACAGTAAGTTGAAGAGCAGTAAGGTGCACCTGTGTCAGACGAGATCATATATTAATAATATAAACAAACT